GGGCGGGTTGATAGAAAAAAAAACATGTGCAGTATAATTCATTGCAGGAGACAAAACACTGAAAGGCCTCTCATATGAAGTTCTAGAGCTAGCACCAAATTCTTCTCTCAGTATTTCTCCGCTGCGTGAATCCTATTCTTCGGGGCGGTGTCGCTTTCTTGTCGTGGGAAGAACAACCTTACCTGACTCGCAGAGGAGGTGAAACCCCCACCTCAGAATGAAAAAGTTGCGGAGACGGCTCGGGCATCTGAGCAGAGACGGGAGAGGAACCGCCCCCTGCTTATCCTAGGTTATGATCTGAGAGTCAGCACAGCATGTCTTTGTTCCTGGGCCTGGTGAAGTATAAAAAAACAGAGGTGCTAAATAGAAGACACGTGCACAGGATCTATGTTGTCTATGTATTATTAAAAAAAAGAGAGAGAGAGAGAGAGAGAGAGAGAGAGAGAGACAGAGAGAGAGAGAGATAGAGAGAGAGAGACAGAGAGAGAGAGACAGAGAGACAGAGAGAGAGACTGAGACAGAGACAGAGACAGAGAGATAGAGAAAGAGGCAGAGAGATACAGAGAGAGAGAGAGAGAGAGAGAGAGAGAGAGAGAGAGAGGGTAAGACAGAGCAAAAAAAAAGAGAGAGATGGAGAATGATAGATAGATAGATAGATAGATAGATAGATAGATAGATAGGTAGATAGATAGATAGATAGATAGATAGATAGAGAGAGAGAGAGAGAGAGAGAGAGAGAGAGAGACAAAAAAAGAGACAGAGACAGAGAACGGGAATAGAGAGAAAGAAACAGAGAGAGTGGGAGAGAGAAGGAGAGAGAGAGTGGACAGACAGAGAGAGAAAAAGAGAGAGAGGGGGAGAGAGAAAGAGACAGAGACAGAGAGATAGAAGACGAGAGAAAGAAAGAGGGAAAGAAGGAGAAAGAGAAAAGGAGAGAGGCAGAGAGAAAGACAAAGAGAGAGACAGAGAGAGGCACAAAGAGAGAGACAGGCAACCAGACAGACAGACAGACAGACAGACAGACAGACAGACAGACAGACAGACAGACAGACAGACAGACAGACAGACAGACAGAAAAAGAGAAATAGAGAGAGAGAGAAAGAGAAACAGAGAGAGAGAGGAGCAACATTCACACACAAGCATATTCACACATCACTGGTATCCCACCGACCAGAAATAGATTTTACTACGTGTATCTATTTTCTTGTGTCTATTAACCCTAGACGTGTACTTGGTGTTGTGAAGGGTTAACTTGAAATACCACAGTTTCATTTTTCATTCTCCCATAATAGAAAACTTCCACCCCAGCGTTGGTAACTTGTGAATAATCCTTCAGTTTTAGTTGTTTCAGAGACGACTATGGTCAAAGATGGTCCATAACAAGATTGTTCACTCAGCCAAAAAAGTGTCCGCGGAAGTCCGCGCATTGATTCAGATGGAGCTGCAGTCTTTTTTTTTTCTTTTTTTTTTTGAAGCTCTCTTTCGTTTCTCAAGAAGAAGAATAGGAATAGCACAGTTTGTTAGTTTTGCTTTTATTGTTTTTCTCACAAGTAGGGTAACTCTGTTCGCAAAGTCCGCTCTTTTTCGAAGAGGGCGCCACCTGACTGTGAGGACACATTTTTAAACTGGCTCAGAGAGGAGTGAACTATCTTGTTATGTACGATCTTTGCTGTGGTGTAGGGGTCGGGCAACGTCATATACAGACGTCACGAGTTCCATTCTCTTTGGGAGGTTTTTATTTCTCGAATATGTCGCCCTGTCTGTTTGGACGTTGTATCTGTCTCAGCCCGGGTTGACCCTGACAGGCGGGGTCAGAACAGCCCGTCTCTTCCACGATGGATGGTTACTTATGGTCATGTCGTGCCAGAGATCTTGTCAGTATGTTCGTGTTTTAGTTATTTATGGTCATGTCGTGCCAGAGATCTTGTCAGTATGTTTGTGTTTTAGTTACTTATGGTCATGTCGTGCCAGAGATCTTGTCAGTATGTTCGTGTTTTAGTTATTTATGGTCATGTCGTGCCAGAGATCTTGTCAGTATGTTTGTGTTTTAGTTACTTATGGTCATGTCGTGCCAGAGATCTTGTCAGTATGTTCGTGTTTTAGTTATTTATGGTCATGTCGTGCCAGAGATCTTGTCAGTATGTTTGTGTTTTAGTTACTTATGGTCATGTCGTGCCAGGGATCTTGTCAGTATGTTCGTGTTTTAGTTACTTATGGTCATGTCATGCCAGAGATCTTGTCAGTATGTCCGTGTTTTAGTTACTTTTGGTCATGTCGTGTTTGAGATCTTGTCAGTATCGCGAGAGCTCTGTCTTGTCGGTATGTTCGTGTTTTTGCAAAGATAGTGTCTAACAAGATAGTACTCTCCCCTCTTTTCTTCGAAAAAGTGCGGACTTTGCTATCAGAGCTACCCTACTTGTGTGAAAAATCATAAAAGTGAAACTAACAATCTGTGCTATTCATTTCTTCCTCTGGAGAAACGGAAGAGAGTTTCAAAACAAAGACTGCAGCGCCATCTGAACCAAGGCGCAGACTTCCGCGGACACTTGATTGGCTGAGTGAACTATCTTGTTATGTACAATCTTTGGTTTTAGTTACTTATGGTCATGTCGTTCCAGAGATCTTGTCAGTAAGTTCGTGTTACAAAGCCTCTCAAATGGCAACTTGCACTGTACGCTTCACGGGAAGTTGTGATTGTTTGAGAATGCTATCAGGCCTGCTGGGGCAATAATATAGACCTTACTGTTGAGCGGGAATTTCCGCTATACAAATGCTATCTATCTATCTATCTATCTATCTATCTATCTCTCTCTCTCTCTCTCTCTCTCTCTCTCTCTCTCTCTCTCTCTCTCTCTCTCTCTCTCTCTCTCTATTGATCTATGATGATGATGATGATGATGATGATGATGATGATGATGATGATGATGATGATGATGATAGTGGTGTTGTTGTTATATTACTACTACTATTATTATTATTATTATTATTATTATAATAATAATAATAATAATAATTAATATTATTATTATTATCATTATTATTATAGTTATTATAGTATTATATTATTTTATTATTATTATTATTATTATTGTTGTTGTTGCTGTGGTCTAGAGTGTGCAGATGTTTCTTCTACAGACAAAATGGCCGCAGCGACAATGACCTTTCCATTGGACATACGGTACCTTTTGTCTCTTTCAGATATGGAAACACCAATTTTGACAGAAGCACAGGCACTTTGAAGTTGAGGTTGAAGGTCGTGTCGATGTCCTTCTCTTCCAAGTCTTTGATGAAGCCGGTGTACAAAGCACCTGCGTTATTTACCTGGGGGTCGGAGGGAATACGCAGGTA